ACACACACACACCCGGCACACACACGCGTGCCACGGCCCCATCAGCTCACACACATGCCACACACACACACCCGGCACACACACACGTGCCACGGCCCCATCAGCTCACACACATGCCACACACACACACCCGGCACACACACACATGCCAGGGCCCCACCATCTCACACACATGCCCACACACACACACACACACACACACACACTTGGCCTTGACACTGCTTGGGCCCAGGTAAGATTCCCAGGCTTCTGCCCAGCAGGAGATACAGGAAATGCCCGCTACCGCCCGCTGGCCACTAGGTGGGACCGCAGCTCTCCAGATGCGAGCACCTGGGATTCTCCCGCAGCCGCTGGAGAAGCTGCTGTGTGTGCGTTTTCACTGTGGGTGGGAGGAACATGGAACTGGCATTGGTGTCCCATCTGTGCCGGGAGCAAACTCCAGCGTACCTCGTGTCCCCCAAGCCCATCCTTCAAGACAGAGCAGTGAGGACGTCAGGCGGGGAGACCTTAGGGGCTCACCCCACCCCACCGTGAGCAGCAGGCAGAGGGGTGGCTCCGCGGAAGAAAGACCCTGGCCAAGACCCAGGTCCTGGAGGTGAAGGCCAAGGTCGCCGGTCAGTCATCTGCCTCGGGGGTTCCAGGGAGTGGGGTCTGAGGACCAGAGCTTGAGAGGTGGGTGGGCGAGGGGATTGGGAGATCCTAGAACACACCCCCAGTTCAGTATAAACATGGTGGAGCTCTCCTCTCAATACGTATCGGAGGACCCCCGATATTGTAAATGTGAAGTGTGCATCTTAAATACCCGCACGTGTGTGAAAGAGCCGCGCTTTGCTCTTGCAGATCGGGGAAGTCATCCTCAGCTCACCCAGGTCCTGTCCAACGCCCGCCCGCCCGCCCGCCCGCCCGCCTGGGATTCTGACCCGGAACCGCAGTCGGCAGGGGGCGCTGCGGCTGGAGGCCGCCTCCATGACTCCTGAGGAACCCCGTCGGACCATGGGGCTGTGGACATGTCAGAAAAGATTTGAGAGCAAGTTCAACAGAGAACAAAGACACTCCTCCAGATGAGGAAGGGCCTTGGATGGGAAAACTTTTGGGCAAAACTATCAGAGAACACAACGATATCAACAGACTTCTCAGGGCGTGGGCTAAGCTGGTGGAAGGACCGTTGGGAACTCAGCATCACTGGTGAGCACGTTGTTTAGGCACATGGAAACCCTAGCAGCCGTGTGAATTTGCAAACCCCCGTTCCGTCACTCGGGGAGGTCTCCAGAGGGACCTGCATGGAGTCAGGCACAGTGCTGGTCTCACGCTGAGCAGCTGCTGTGCTCAGTGCATCCACAGACATCCAAGTGGAACGGTCCAAAACCCCTTATCCAAACTGCTGGGGTGCTTTGCAACCCAGAACGTTCCAGTTCCAAAAGAGAAGGCGGCGCACAGACCTGGGATTGCCTACCAGGCCTGGTGAAATCCACAGCAGTGCCTGCGGCCAAGCACACAGACCACAGAGACCATACAGAGCCAAGGGTTTGCTACCCAGCGGCTTTGCTGCTTTCTGGTTGTAGAGCTTCCTGGGGGTTAGGTCTGTGGGTAAGGGGCGGTGAATCCTGCACACAAGCTCCATTTCCAGAGCGGCTCGGACTCCTGGGAAGAGAGTGACTCCGCAGCTGGAGCTGGGATCACAGGGTGTCCGCTGCTCAGACTCAGCCAGGGTACACATGCCGTTCACATCCTACACGTGTGACGGACCAAGGGAAAGAGACATCTGTGACCGGTGATCACGGAGCCTTCAGAAGCCAGGACCCCCAGGAGCGTGGATTAGCTGGGCACCCCAGCTGGGGAGGATGGGCTGGTGTGCTTGCTCCTGAGACGTGATTTCAACCCATCAGGATCCGCTCAGGAAAGAGGCCGGACAGAGCGGAGAGGAGGATTCTGGGAAGGGACCTGAAGCGGGACCACATACATACTAGTTTTTTGTGTCATTTTTGTTTTACAATTTGTAATTTCTTGTCTCCCCACAAAGCCACCCCACACTCTCCATATCTCACTAGTACGCTCCGAAGCTGGATTAAACTCAGTGATGCATGGAAACTGCTGAGGCCAAGCCAGGGGCCCACACCTGGATCCGTGCGAGTGAGCGAGTCTGCAACATTGTTCGACATCCATGACTGCCCCGGCCCAGGCACACTGTCAGTGTACTCTGGAACAGGAAGCCAGGGTGTGTTTTCCAACTGAAGGAATCTAAACCCAACAACGTACAAAGGAAAACCAAACAGCACTCAGCACAGGATACCTGCACCAAAGAAGCCCTTCCAACCAACAGGGCGCAGATCGGAACGAGGGAGAAGTAAAGAAGCAGAAGGTCCCAATGGAAGGGATTCGAGAAGCCACCTGCAGATGGGTCCTGGGTGCTGGTGCTGGGCAAGGGTGAGCAAGGTGCTTTGGAGGAAAGAGGAGAAGGGTGGGACCCAGGTCCCGGACTCTCATTCTAAGAGGTGTCAGCCTGGCTCAGAGAGGAGAGGCATACATTGCAGAGGGCCTGGGAAGGTTTTGTGTTTTCCCCGGGAAGAAACCCTTTGCAACTCTTCCATAAATAGGACAAAACAGAGATGATTCTCCCTGCTCCTCTCCTGAAATTGTTATCAAAACGAATGTGCTGATTTCTCCCTCTGGTTGGAAATTGCTCAGAGTTTGACAAAGCAATAGATGCGAGGAGGAGCTCCGTAAGACAGCCTGGTCTTTGAAGCCCGGGTTCTTGCAAAAATATCGGATTGTGGGGATGGAGGGGGGTGGAATCTTTAAAACCAGAGAGACCCACTCAGAAAGACAGGCCGGGTGTGGCTGCCCGGGAAATTCTGAGCTCCAGAGGCACCGTTCACCAGAGGTTCCAAGCTAAGAGTCCAGCACAGAGAGGACACTGGAATGGCACAGAGGGTCTGAGTCCACCGGAATGCGCCTCGTTCTTCTGTGCCGAGTGCCTCGGCAGATGCTGTTCCATTTGCCTGAAATGCTTTTCCCTCCTCCACATCTACCAGGTCTGCTTTGACTAAAAGGCCTTCTCCGGTGCCCCACACAGCAGTGCTGGAGCCCCACAGGCCAAGTCAATAGCTTTGGCGCCTAGCACCTTCCTGTGCTCCTGGGCTGAGTGGGAAGACTGGACTGGAAACGAATTCTGGGATCAGAGGATCTGGATTCAAATCCCAACTCTGCCACATACCAGCTGTGTGACCCGCGATAATTCACAGCCCCTGGAGTCCCAGTCTTCCAGGGTGACATGGAGATAACATCTAACGCATAGGGTCACTGTCTCTGTCTCTGTCTCTCTCTCTCTTTCACACACACACACACACACACTGGCTGGTGGAAGCTGCACACGCCGCACTATAGGACCTGCAGGGTCTGTTCTCTCTCCCCTTCTAGACTGTGAGCCCCAGTGGGCAGGGCGCCCTGTGCTCTGCAGATCTCTGAGTGGGTGTCACATTGTGCCGGGAGCTGCAGAGCTGGAAGAGGGGGAGAGGGGGAAGAGGGGGAAGAGGGAGGAGAGGGGGAAGCGGGGAAAGAGGGAAGGGGTCTGTCTCTTCGGGCGGGCTGGTGGGGATCCTGCGCGGGCTGCCCCGTGAATTCACTCGGGAGGTACCGCTCTGACTGTGCAGACTGGGGAGTGAGCCAGCAGCCTGCCGCCTCCGCCAGGAAGGAAATGTCTGCAGCTGTGAGTCACCGTGAGGTTTCACTGCAGATCCGCCTTGGGAGCCGGCGGTGGGAGGGGCGGAGCGGGAGGCGGGTGGTGCTGAGTCCGATCCGCGTCCCCCGGTGACAGAGGGAAAAGCAGGTGGGGGCCCGGGCTGGGCTTGGAGCCCGCGGGCAGGGTGGGGGGCCTCTGCGCGCACCTCCCCGGAACGGTGCCCCCAGCGGCCAGCGCCTGCCTCGGGCTCCCGGCACGGGGCACCCTCGCCGGCATCCTCGGGAACGTCCAGCCCCGCACGCTGCGGAGGACCGAGGGGCCGGGCGCGCACCGCGGCGGGGTCCCCGCGCCAGGAGGCCCCGGGCGGCCCTCTCAAGGGCGTGTGAGGACACGTCTCCGCTCGCGGCACCGCCTCGGGGCGTGGCTCTGGAGCGTCTGGCCAATGGGGGCCGCGGACGCCTGGTCACGTGGTCTCCCTCCGCCAACGGGCTCTTCCACGCTCCGCCTTGTAGCTCTGCCCGACGCGGCTCCAGGCCGCTGGCTCCGCCCCCCGAGGGTCTTCTCGCGAGAGCAGCCCCACCGGCGTCTCCTCTTCCGCGTGGCACATAGGACGGCGTCCGGGGCAGAGCTGCGCGGTGCGGGGCTCTGGCATGGAGGGCGGGGCTCCGGCATGGAGGGCGGGGCTCCGGCATGGAGGGCGGGGCTCCGGCATGAAGGGCGGGGCTCCGGCATGGAGGGCGGGGCTCCGGCATGGAGGGCGGGACTCCGGCGTGGAGGGCGGGGCTCCGGCGTGGGGCAGGGCTACGGGACGGGGCTCCGGCGTGGGGCGGGGCTTCGGCATGGGGCGGGGCTCCGGCGTGGGGCGGGGCTCCGGCGTGGGGCGGGGCTCCGGCATGGAGGGCGGGGGCTCCGGCATGGAGGGCGGGGCTCCGGCATGGAGGGCGGGGCTCCGGCATGGAGGGCGGGGGCTCCGGCATGGAGGGCGGGGCTCCGGCATGGAGGGCGGGGCTCCGGCGTGGGGCGGGGCTCCGGCGTGGGGGGCGGAGCAGGGCCGGGGTCCCGCAGCCGGCTCCCCCTCCCCCCGGGACAGCCGCCCTGAGCCCCAGGCCCCGGCCCTGCGCTGGCCTGGCTGGGCTGGTTTCTCTCCGCCACCGCTGCCCTCCGCCACGAGGACCGGGAGAGCGGCCCCGCATGAAACCGGGTCACCTCAGCCGGATGTGTCTCCCACGGCCCCGCCTGCAGCGCAGCCTTCGAGGCGCCCGCTGGAGACGGACACAGGCGCAGGGGGGCTCGAACGTGCCCAAAGTGGCGTCACCTCCACCCGAACCCCGCCAGCCAGCCTCCGGGCCGCAGAGAGGACCGGCTGCCAGCGGTCACCGGGCACAGGCCCTGCCCTCGGGCCCGGGAGCCGGCCTCGCGGGGAGCAGCGAGGATGCTCAGGCCGGGAGGGCCCGTCTGAGCCACGGAGCCGGGCAGGAGAGAAAAACGGGCCCCTCAGGGACCCTCCTCTGAGGGAACTCCTAAGGGGATAGTAAAGTTGTCCCACCTGACAGCCACCCGTGCTCCTCTGGTTAGTCGGAGGTCCGTTCCTACCGCACGATGCAACACGATTTTCACCTTAAGTCAGAACCCACCTACATAAGCACCTACGTCACCCACATGGAGCAATAATGAAGTGAAACAGTAAAAAGAAAAATTAAAGAAAGACAACAATTCCTGACCTTTACTTGTAAATAAGTAACCGAAAAAACGTAAAGCACATATATACATGTCGAAATGACAGAACTTTTTTTAAAAATAAATGGGAGATGGTGATGTAACCACAAAACGACATACATGAAGTCCGACGTAATCAGAGGACTGTCTATATATATATATTGTATATAAAAGCCTAATATGCACATTGTCCCCTCGGAGTTTTACTGAGACCTGAGGTTCAATTGCTCGCTCTGACATGCAGTGACCACCAGGGGGGGCGGGGAACAAAGGTAGGCCCCAGCCAGTGGTCGGCAGCTGGGGAAGGGAGGCCCCAGCTGGCAGCCAGGAGGCCCCAATTGGCCCTGATCTGTGCACGAACTTCATGCCCGGGGCCTCTAGTGTGAACACACACCTCAGGCCCAACGTGATACCTTGGTAGAGCCAAACCAATCATCTTCAGCCTCCTACAGGTGAGCCAAGGCCCCCTCCCATTTAAAACACTCGGCGGAAATGCCACAAATGCCACGATTGGCAATTCTCTGACTATAAAATCATCTCTACGCTCGTTACTGTTTGAACTGTACTGAGCCCCTGGATCCTGACAAGACAGAAGGTAAACCACAGTGCAGGTTCCCCGGGGAGAGGGGAGAGGACACAGATGTGGACAGGGGGCTCTGCTCCCAGGAGGGCTCTGGAGAGAGACCTCAGAGGGATCTCCCATTGGCGCACAGCACTCAGGAAGCTAGAACACCGCGTGTCCAGCCCACTCCTCCCCAGGCCTCAGGAGGGCGCTCCTCTGCCTTCCATGGGGTTCTGAGGCCCCGTGAGCCTGCCGACCGCCCCCAGCCACTGCGGCCACGTTCCGGGCGAACAGGAACACCAGAGCTCTCTCCACTGGCCAATGTGCCTCTGAGCAACCACGTCGTCAGAGAGCAAGATTTCAAAACCCCGCCTCTCTCAGGATTCACAGAACCATTTGTCTCCCATTCCAGGAAGCAGAGCAGCGCCATGTTCAGAAAATGGTGAGAAAGAGCCATCAGGTTAAACCAAAAAACAAAACAATGCAACAAATCCCCTGCATGTGGCACTCAAGAGGCCAAGACCCCCACGGCGACATAAGCATTAAACATTGTTGTTAACATGGAGAAACTTCTGGTGTTTGAACACACTTTTGACTCCTGTCTTCCTCCTCTCAGACTACGGCTGGCGTGAAAGAAACCCCCCCAGTTGGGAGTGTGGACAGTGCAGAAGGGGTGCTGGCCATTTTTCACCTGAGGCAGAGATCTGACCCCTCTTCCTCCCCCTTCTAGAAACAGCGTATATGAGGGAGCAAGAGCACTGCCGTAAGTTTTAAGAAATGTTATCATCTACATGGAGCACATGGCCCAAAGGAAATTAGATCCATGTTCTAATTTACTGGGCACCTGCCCTGTGCCAGGCCTCGGTGGAGTAAATACACTCCACCGAGGCCTGGCACAGGGCAGGTGCCCACTAAACCCCCACCGAGTAAGCATCAGCACCCACCGCTAGGGGAGTAGGGAAGTGGCCCCAAGACCCTGGGAGCTGGGAGTCAGCAAAGATCCGGGTGGGTGGCATCGTGGCAGAAGCAATTCCGTTTCCTGGAAGCGGAGCTGAGCTGGCCTGGAAGAACTGGAGGGTTCCTGCTGAGTCAGCGGCACGAGAGGGCGAGAGCCTTGAGGGGGAAGCAAGGAGAGTGTGCTGGGGGTGCTGGAAACCCATGGATGGGTTCACCCCAAGGACGAGGGTCGGAGTCTACAACCCACAGCTGCAGGTGTGCATCTCCCGTTGTGTCCCAGGAGGCAGCGAGGCAGACAGAAGCCACGCACGTTCTCCTGGAGATTTCTGCTCCTATGAGTAGATCCCCTCAGGGGGGTGAGTAGGAGCACAAAGCTCTTCCTCTGAGATATCTGGTCTACCGTCCACTCATTCGACAAACTTTCTTTGGGAACTTCCCAGGTGCCAGCACCGCTCTGGGCCCGGGGTCCGAGGATGCTCAGGATGGCCTGGGAGCCGGGCTCATGTCCCACAGGGGCGGGGGGGCGGCGGGGTGAACACATGTGCTTCTGCGGAGGGTGACGTGTGTGCTTTGAGGAGAAGTGAAGCAGAGTGCGCCATTGCAGGTGGAGACATCAGGAATCCATAGATGACAATGGACTCCCCTGACTTCCCTGTCGTGGCACCACCACTGGTAAACCTTCACCAGAACCAGCCGAGGCCCTGGGACTTACCTTCTGCACCTGCTGGTAACACCAACAACAGCCTCATGGCCGCAGAAACCATCCCAGAGGTCTGCTCCCCTCGGCAGAAGTGACGGCCTAGCTCTGCTTGCTACAAGCATCCGGCAGCTGCTCGCCACCCTGTTTGCACAGACAGACACACGGCAGCCTCACAGGTCAGGGCCCCGAGAGCAGGGCCTGCTGGGAGCTGGCCCATCGCTCTGTTCCCGCAGAGCCTTTCCGGGGCCCCCATTCCCACGTGGCCGCGCAGCCAGGCACACAGACACGATCCGTGGGCGTGGTGTAGCTATTTTTAGAAAGAGTGCCCGTCTTCTGGGTCCCACTGGGGGCACGTCCACCTGTGGTTCTCTCTGGCCGGGTGCTGGCCTTATAAAGGCACGCACATGCCCTCGCCACTCAAGTGGAAGGAATTCGGGCATGTGGCCGCCGCTGACATAATCCTCTCCGTTTAGGGACGGCGGAGTTCTGCTCCGCCGTCTGAGGCTGGCAGCGCTGGCTCCTGTGCTTAAATGTCAGCGATCCCGGCTCAGGCTGGAGGCCGGGGTCCCGCCACTGCAGGCCGGCAGAGCGCGCTCTGAGAAGCTGCTTACGGATTCACAGCCAAAGGGGGAGCTGGGGGCAGGCGGCTTAGAGGCCCCCTCCCAGGGCAGCGTGCAGACGGCTGTCAGGAACACAGAACGGTTTCCTTCCCAAGGCCAAGTGCAAAGGCCTCCGAGGCCCAGGCAGAGAGAGGTCAGGAGGAGATGGGGCTGGAGGAGTGTCTTTTTCTAACTCATCTCCGGGGTTCCCCCTCTTTCCTCCAAGATTCCCCTTCCACGGGAGGTTTCTTCTTCTCTTCACTCTGACGTCCATGACGCCCTTTAACATCCCAATCCTGGATCACAGTCTCTTTCCTTTTCTCCCCTGGGCATAAGCAGAAGGCTGTGACCACTAGCAGAAAACCCAGGGGAAGTTTATTAAAAATACAAAGAGCAACAGGAATGCAGGTTTCCGAAGTGTAGGTTCCTGGTGCTAGGATGACAGCCCACCACAGTAAGTGGGGTCCCCGATCCCCTCTCCCTCCCTGTCCAGTGTTCTCACCCCTGGATCCTGCGGGCCCACATCCCCACCACGTCCTGGTCAACACAACGATCGCCTCCTCTGAGAACCCCCCTGCCCCCAGCTTACCCACATGCACACCTCCCCGGCCCCTACAGAGACCCTCTCCCGTCCCCTCCTGCCCCCCGCCCCCACCCTGTGCTGGTCCCGCCCCAGGCGCCCCTGGGCTCTGCAGGATGCCTCCGCACACATCCCCCTGATGGCACCGGTCTGTGGGTAAGCATGACATCCAGGCCAAAGCAATCCCCACCCACACCAGCTCCCCGTGTCCCCCGGAGCCACCCGGTACCCGGTGAGACGTGACACATGGAATCCAGCAAGACCTCGACCCCCTAAACACGGCCAGCTCTCCGGCCAAGAACTTCAGGTCTCCTTCCCTCCGCACTCAGCCACACCTCCACACGCTCTCCTGGCTATCCGCGGCCTTCGCCTGCAGGACACGGCCAGGCCACACCTAGAAGGAGGAGCACAGCTTGTGAGTATGTGAAAGAGTCAGCTCCTGTACTGTACTTCATTATTGTAACGTTTCCCATACACGCGGCACATCTATTTTTTGCAGTATTTTCATTTTTTTTTAGAAAAAAGTTAAATGAGTGTTGACATGCCAAAGCACACGCTTGGGTTTGTGGGTGAATGTATGTGTAACTCCTTCACATGGACTTGCCCGTGGTCACCGTCACCGAAGAGTCGGAGTCCACGGAAGGGAGGCGGTCCCGAAAACGTGGCTGTGTGGTTGCCGTAGTAATCGATGCCTTCTGGAACAAACCCACCCGGGCTAATTACAGCCTTCTATTTTTAACGCCTCTGCAGCCTCCTCCCGCCCCCCAGCGCGGCCCGCACGACCCCAGCAATAAGATACTCCTCTGCTACGTGCACAGCCCCGCGCGGGTCTCAGAATGACTGTCTCCAGCCAGCCCCGCGGCAGGGGAGGGGCGGCTCGGGCTCCCTGAGCCGGGACTGAGTGCAGGGTCCGAGGGCCAAGCAGACCCCTGCCTGCCAAAGAGCCCAACCGCTCCCCGGGCTCCCGGGCAGCTGCCACCTTGTGAGCACCAGGCCTGAGGTCCCGGCTCCCAAGGAGGCCCGAGCCGGCTGCCCACCCCTCCCGGAGGCCCGCCTGACGGTCAGCCCTGCGCCTGAGGGGCTATCAGGGCCGAATACAAGGACGAGAAGAGCCGGTCGGCCCTCTCCTCTCTGGCCCCACAGACAGCCAGGGTCCAGCTCACTCCACTGCGGGCCTGTCCTCCCGGGCCGGATGGGTGAACTGGAAACAGACCAAGA